TGGAGGTGAAAAATGTATTTTATCTCTATATGGACGATACATTATTATTATTAGATACCTCGATAAAGTAAATGTATCTCTAAAATTGAGGAAAATACGTGGGTTATAATAAAAAAAAGGAATCAAATTAATTTGCTGTTTATTTGCATAAAAATGTTATAGCCCGAATCAAAGTCAATTAAGATAACATTAACGTTCCATCACTCTTGACTCTGTGCCGCAGATGTTGAACTCTGAATTATTTTTTTTGTTAAAAGCCAACGCATAATTTTAGCGGAAATGTGTTAAAACCAAATTTCTTATGGTTTTGGATGTTAACCACAATGGTAGTAGTAACATTACATTATAATTAGAAAAGATGGGGAGTGTTCTGAGGAATTGTTCGGATTGATACCTGGTATACGCTGATACGCCACAAACTAAAGTTTCATCCCAATCATCTGGACGAGTGGCGGTCTTCCACCGTGCGTTTTTCAAGGCACTTTCTTCCACGCACAACAATTCTTTGGAATCAACTTCCCGCAGCAGTATTTAACTTAATAATAACTTTATTTCCTTAAACAAAATTAGCCTGTAGTACAATGTAACTATTTCTGAACTGATACGACAATATAACCTTCAAGAAAAGAGTATATTCCTTTTTAAAAGGCCGGCAGCACACCTGCAATGCCACTGGTATTGTGGGTGATCATGGGCGGCGGTAGTCACTTACCATCAGGTGAGCCGCATGCTCATTTGCCCCCTGTGTTGTAAAAAAAAAAGATTACAGTCGTCAACGTATTTATATAATTCTATGTTACAGATTCTTTTTCAAGTGACATCAAAAAAGGGGATTCTCAATTAGGTTGTATTTTTTTTTGCTTATGACCTTATAACTCCGTCAGTTGTAAATCGATTTTTTTTAATTACACTTACAGATTAGTCTCACAGAAATTTTCTCAAAAACGGTTCAGTGGTTTAGTTTTTAAATCAAATTAACTGGTTTGCATCTTTTACTATTATTGATTTTTTTTTATTTTCTATTTTATTTTAATAGGTAAACATATAATACCTAAAACACATGTTATATATTTTAAAATTTATGATCTGACAATGCTTAGTAGTTTGTATTCACACAAATTTATTATTTATTATAGTTAAACTTTTTGAAAAAGCAACAGCTGAGTGTCTTGCCCTTTCTTCTTGGCTGAAAATGAATTCCGAATGGGCGATAATGAAAAAATGACTATTCAACAAGGCTTAAATATTAGTTCAGTTGAATAAAAATATTTTATTTATTTATTAATTAGTACAAATGTATGTACATGGCGGACTTAATGCTAAAAGCATTCTCTCCCAGTCAACAATAGGGAAGTGTTAGAATACTCGAATGCGGTACTAGTAATTATTGATATACATACATACTACAATTACATATATAAACGAATAAATATATATGAATAACAAATATACTTACACATATATGACATATACTATATTATACACGAAATTGAGAATAATATAAAGCACTTACTGCTCGGATAAAGATAAAAAGTGAGTGTGAACGTTTTTTTTGAAAGACGGTTTAGTCGGTAGTCGGGAAACATAAAAATATTTCTTTTTTTCTTTTTTAGATAGGTGACAGGTGATAATGTTGATTGACTAGAAAATTGTTGAGGTGTCTTATCTTATCTTATCTTATATTCTCATATGGGGTCAGCTAAGCTGTTGCACGTCGACCCATTGGGATCTTTTGTGCTTCCCCCTGCCTTAAACCATCATTTCATAGATCCTTTGTGTTACCTTAACGATATCCCGCGGTTTAAGATATCTGTAGTCCCCTGGTTCTGGATAAGCCGTTCCCAGTAGACCCATACGCATACTTGCCAATGAATCGCAGTTGCACATCAAGTGTTGTTGAGGTGTACAACATTATCAGAGCTTGGTTACACGAATAGCAAAAATCAGCTCCTTTGTTCCAGTATAAATTAATTTAACGCGCTAATTATGCTAATTGTGTTATCAGCTTTACTCGTATTCGTTGGACTCGTGTAAGAATTATATTTTTAATTGGAAATCTACATAATAGATTTTTTTTTCATCTTACTTGGTTGGCAAGCCTTGAATTGTCTTCTACCAGAGGGAGACTTTGTACAAAAGTCGATTGCTTGGGTACCTCTGTCGCATTTGTGTTTCAACCGCAAAGCAGTTGTGTTTGCATGGCTGTGTTTCGGTTTGAAGGGTGGGATATGGCGTGAATTTACTGGGTATAGAGGAATAACACCTGAGTCCTCAGGAATGGCAACGCAAGGGGGGTATCATGTGCGAAACAGTATGCTCTGTTATGTCCATGGTACTGCTCATGTCTATAGGCGACGGTTACTACTTTCCATCAGGTAGGCCGTCAGCTTGTTTGCCATTCTAAGTTGTATAAAAAAAAAAACCTTGTTTGGTTATAGAAAATATAGGTCCATGAAATCGAAATGTGTATCTCTAAAATTACAAAATTTCATTTTATTATCACTGAAATCTTTATTGTAAGGATCGATATAAACTCATTTAAGTCAACATTATTATAATTTCAGTGTATGAGATGGTCCATAAAACTGTAATTTTACAATATTATTGGGCGACAATGGAATGGTAACCCCACCCGCGCTATTGGTATACACCGGCGGGGCACCAGTGAAGGATGATAGGTGAGGATGAAGCAGGTCAGTTAGCCCATCGTGACGAATTCAACAAGAATTGTTCACGATGGTTTCCAGTGGGAACCATGTGGAGGTCGACCTGATAGGGCATATTGCTAGCAATGTCGAACTCCATTGCTAACAATCCCTTTCCACCCAAATTAAAATATTGAGTTAAGAGGTAAGTTTAGAGAAATAGCGCCTCTGGATCGGTTCCAATGTCTGTCAATTAGTTATGTAAAATGAATTTTATTCTATTTACATGTACAGTATATCTATGTATAATTTAAGATTGTGGAATAAAAAAACCTAGTTTCAATTGTGGTAAAAAAAATATTACCTACAGCAAAATAAAAAATATAAGGTAAAAATTGTGTTAAAGAAGATTTCATTTGCAATAAAACCAGTTACTTTAATTTAAAATCTAAACTACAGAACAGATTTTAATAAAATAACTATGGGACCAATTTGTAAATATATCCTTTCAGAGAAAAAAAAAAAATCCTAAATTTGTCTATGGACGGCTGACGGAGTTATGTACGGAGGAAACAAACATAAAAAAATCCTTCTTTTCGAAGTCGACTGAAAATCGGCTTAAAATCGGCTAAGATAATCGCGTAACACACACAAAAAAATCTTTGTTTCGGAAGTCGCCCAATAAATTCTAACTGTAGCTATTACCTACCTGAATAATGTAGGTGATATTATTATACTCGAGGGGTCACTGTTCTCGTACCGACTGACAGTTCCACGACATCGCCCTAGTTTCGGTTCATCCGCCCGCCCTTCGCCGAGGACGCCGGGTCCCACTTTAGGCCGAGGTCGCTCCGGTGTCGTTCAAACTTGAGTTAGTGTGTAAATTTATTGCAGGGACCGCTATGAATCGGGGAAATAAAGGGAAAGCCAGCTAGCTCTTCAGCAGCTCGATTGGCATTAATTTAGGACGCGGGACGATCTGTTAGGATTAATGCGGGCAGTGATTTTTGACTGCGCCCATTTGTTTTTGCGTATATGATATGTTATACATAGAAACTGCATAAAAAAGCTGGTCAGCGAGTGCGAATTGAACCCACACGCCGTGGGTTCCGCACACAAATATATATGAGATAAAATAAAATGATGACATAATTTCTTATTGAGGGCCATAATTGTAGTTAAAAACTAAACCGCATAACTAATACTAAAACTAATAGTTTGTTTTTGGAGAGTTTTTTTTTATTAATTTCTCAAAAACAGTGCTAATTAGAAACATCGTTTTTTTTTTGTAATATTCACACATACCGTGTACATGCTGAGATATAACATTGTGTCAGAAGGACGGATGGACAAAGTCGCATCATAAGGGTTCCTTTGTACTTTTTTGTTACGGAACTCTAAATGCAGCGCAAAATTAATAGCGATGACGACAAACGACAAGATGTTTTTTAAACACAATTTGAATATATTTAAATTTAGAATGCACAATGCAATTAAAATATTTTCCATCCAATATGTTTACAAGTAGCATCAACAACAAAAAAACCTGTAAATTCACTGCCATATCGCACCATTCAAATCGAAACACAGCCGTGCGCACACAACTGTTTCACGGCAGCAACACGAATGTGACAGAAATACCCAAACATTTATACAAAGTCTTCTTCTGGTATTCAAACAACTGTTATAAAAAGCATGATTAAAATCGGTTTAGAATTGGCGATATTACATAGCTCTGAAAAAAATACGATGAAAACCACCAGAGGGAGGTTTTGTACAAAAGTCGATTGCTTGGGTACCTCTGTCTCATTCGTGTTTCAACCGTGAAGCAATTGTGTTTGCATGGCTGTGTTTCGGTTTGACGAGTGGGATATGGCGTGAGTTTACTGGGTACAGAGGAATAACACCTGATTCCTCAGGAATGGCAACGCATGGGGGGTATCATGGACGAAACAGTATACTCTGTTATGTCCACGGTACTGCTCATGTCTATAGGCGACGGTTACCACTTTCAATCAGGTGGACCGTTAGCTTGTTTGCCATTCTAAGTTGTATAAAAATATATATAATTACAGAACAAATAGTATTAATGCAGCATATTTGGGTAAACTCTTACTACCGAGGGTAAACTATTACTACTGGTACCCATTCTACTATTCATTACCGCATCAAATTGTTCTCTTTTGCTCAATATGTTCCGAGTGTACTCTTTAATTCCATTGCAGTTAACTTTGTAACGTATTCCGCTTTTATTATGTAAAGTACACATAGCAACAAGGGTTGACAATTAGTTTAAAATTCAGTGCATCCACACTCGTGTACATTGTGAGTTTACAAATAAACATATATACATAAATGTTGCATAAACTGATGTTATGTCACCGGCGCGGCGCCGGCGCCGACGCCTTCGCAGACGTACGGCAATCTGCATACTATTTACGTGCGCGCGCAGCCTTAGTATGCGAACGTCGTGTGGACGACGCTTGTATCGCATTCGACAATTAAACAGGTCGTATTAATATTAAGGAATTAACAATACACAGAGTATAGATTAAGGTAGATTAAGTTGTATTACTAGTTCAGTATTACATTGTCTATGGTTGTACAGCAGCAAAAAGTGATTCGAGATCTGGTTGACGACTTAAAAGAGATAAATCCGGCAACCTTAATTATTTTTAATAAAAAATATTTAATGTAAGAAGAGCCGGACGAAGTTACGTGTATTTTAGTCGAGAATGCTCGACTAATTTCGGGATTATCAAGGACATGAGCGCTAGATTGACTGAGCGCCTAGAAACTAGAAAACTAGTCAAATATTCTCATTTAAAATCAAGTTAATACTAAATTGTAAGTTAATCCGGGCGTTCTTACATTAAAATATAATATGTATGTACTTTCGAACTTTTTAACAATAGAACATAAAGTTAAAAAAAAAATTAAACTACATTAGTTTAGACAAGTTTATAGAAGGTCGATTAAAAGCATGAAGAATTAAACTAAAAGAAACATACGTGTGTACGAACAAAGTGGAAGAATGCAAGTTCCTGGTCACAAAAAAATTATGGCTTATATATTATAAGCCATATTATGCTACTTATGTAACTTCAATGCTTAACAATTTCATAATTTCATTATATTTATTATTATTATTTACGAGTCTGTCTGTCTCATCCGTGTTTCTACCGTGAAGCAGTTGTGTTTGCATGGCTGTATTTCGGTTCGAAGAGTGGGATATGGCAGTAAAATAACAAGGTGTAGAGGGATAAAAACTTAGTCTTTTTTTATACAACTTAGAATGGCAAATAAGCTGACGGTCCACCTGATGGAAAGTGGTAACCGTCGCCTATAGACATGAGCAGTACCATGGACATAACAGAGTATACTGTTTCGCCCATGATACACCCCATGCGTTGCCATTCCTGAGGATTCAAGTGTAATATCTCCGTACCCAGTAAATTCACGCCATATTCCACCCTTCAAACTGAAACACAGCAATGCAAACACAACTGCTTTACGATTGAAACACGAATGGGACAGAGGTGCCCAAGCAGTCTTCATGAATGGCAATGCATGAGTGGGCTATCAGCTTGTTTGCCATTCTAACTTGCAATAAAACAATAATAAGAATACAACATTTAATCACCATAGACTCTTTTATTACACTGATATACTATATCTTGGAACGCACCAACCGTTCAACAAGGTGTATTAAAAAGCTTGCACCCCGAAAAACGACGACAAGCTCTTTTCAATAGGAAAAAAAAATCATAAAGAAAAAAGGGACGGAAATGGAAAACGTAAAAACAAATTTGCTGCCACTCGTAGAGTAGGTATTCAGAGAGATTCAGAGCATAAATCAAAGCTTGAGGAGAGTATAATAGCGGGGGAGGGACTCGGAATGCGCGGACCAGACGAAACAGCGCGTCATTACTTATTCGTGTGCTTTCGGGGGGCGGGGGGCGGGGAGGGATTAAGGGACGGGGTGAATCATCCGTCATCTTGTTCCTGAGAAGGGTAGCGAAAAAGTAAAACAAAAGTTTACCGGAGGGTAATTTGTCATATATTGCATAGGTATAAATCAGTTAAGATGCATTCCACGGTTTAGTAAGGATTAGGTTGTTAAAGTATCTTGTAAGTTTTACGATCATTAAAGCTATAAACATAGAAAATAAAAAAAAAGATATAGTATTTCACTTTCGTTTATTTCATTTTGGGGAAAATACTAAACTGATTTTATTAAACACATGCGGCCCGTCCCGGCGTCGCACGGGTGGACATTTTTACATTTTAAAAAGTGGCCATTAAGGCTGCACACGCGACGGAAGCTTAAAAATGGAGTAACTTCTCCCGTTTTCCCAACATTTCCCTTCACTGCTTTGCTCCTTTTCATCGTAGCGTGCTGAAAAGTATACTATAACTTGCCCAGGAGTATGAAGAAAAATTGTACAAAGTTTCGTTAAAATCCGTCGAGTAGTTTTTGTTCCTATAACGAACATACAGACAGACAGACAAAAATTTTACTGATTGCATTTTTGGCATAAGTATCAATCACTAATCACCCCCTGATATTTATTTTGGAAATATATTTCATGTACAGAATTGACCTCTCTACAGATTTATTATAAATATAGAAAATTATGTGTTCGTTGAGAATTTGAAAATGACTGAAAGTTAACTGTATCTTATTATAATTTATACAGCGAAATAACCGACAATTAGATGTAATTGATCTAAGTGAATTCGGAACCATCTTTGAATTATTCTCATTAATTATATTGCTATTCCGAATACCTCGTGAAAAGGAGAGAATAAATTTTAGATAATTGAATCTTCAACGTTTAATTTATTGGCCGGTTGAAGATTTATAGAGAGCATACTACGTAACACAAAATATTCAGTATAATATTACAAAACTATAAAAGCAATGATAATCCACCGAAAGATTTTGAAATAATTATTTTGAATTTTTTCCTTGGATTTGCTTGCCAATTTATCTTCGACTAGCTTTTGATAGTAGACAGGTACGTGTGCAAGTTGTAAAAACAATTTTTATTTTTGTTTCAGGTCCTATAAGCCCTCTTCCAAATGTCACGAGCTCTGAATTAGGACTAAAAGAAGGTAAGATAATGGTTTAGTACGTTTGGAAACAAAAGAATAAAGTACCTGTACTATGAGTCTAGAAGGGTACATAAGAATTTTCATAAAAACATAGGATAACATAAAGAAAGGAATTTTTTTAATAAATTTGTATGAAAGTTTTTGACGAGAATATTGAATATCCGGCTTTCAAATAGGCCGAGTGCTTTTTGATCTTAACGACTGAAAGGTGGCGTGAGTTTTGCACATGTTCAAGTAGTAAAAAATCTCTATCAAAAATAAAAAAAATATAAAAAATTTTCTCTCCTCTCAGTCAGAAATAAAAAAAAAAAGTTATTCCGTTATTAATTTATTTATAGCTAACATTGCTAAACAACGTGCTGAGTACGTTTTCTAGGACATTCTCGGGCTGGTAGATGGAATACAACTTCACTTCGAGGCAAATAGAGAAGCAGTGTACAAATTGTATTGACTGTGTGACTTCCCCTGTAAAAACTGATTCGAATTGAATTGAAACTAAAGATATCAAATCGTATATATAGCAAAATTTAGAAGACATTGGCTGAGTTATTTTGTTGTATACAGCTATAGCTAGGCTTATGTATTGATAGAAAAATGCTGCATATCCCAAATATATTTTTTATTAAACGTAAATGTTGTACGCATTACAGGTAGTTGTGCAGTCGGCGATTTGGTATACATGGCCGGCGACGAGTTCCCCGGCTCCACACCTTGCGAGCGCTGCTCCTGCGCCGCGGGCGCGGTGCAATGCGAGAAGCAACGCTGCGAGCCGCGGCCCGGCTGCAAGGCGCTGCACCGACCCGATCATTGCTGTCCGACTTACCAGTGTGGTGAGTATTACTTATTACGGTAGTGAGGATTCGTGAGTGTATGTAATTCGTTCCTGCTCCAAGATTAAAGGTGAAAAATTCTTGATAAAGGTTTGATAGCTGATGAAGACACAATGTCTTGCCGTGTAAAAATCATGCATAGGGCAGAAAATAAAGCAGAGAACTGAATGTATTTTTGTCACAAAGATCAGCATCGAGAAGTGACAATAGGCGTTAAAAGAGACAATTCATCTTGTCAACTTCCAATCAACACTTTCTTTGTCACCTACCAACATTTTCCCTCTGGCAGGCTGAAGTTACCACTTAACTGTCTGTTTTTTAGAAAAAATAGGAAAAGTGTCTGTTTCTAAAGAATGAATTTCTTTGGTTAATATTTTCTTATTTAATATTTCTTTTATGGGAAAAAAGGGATTGGTAACCTCGCCTGCGCTATCAGTAAACACTGACAGGGTACCAGTGAGGCATGACAAGTGATGTACCTGCATCTACTGTAGGTGCAGTTCATCATAACAAGTTTCGCAAGATTTAACTACTATAGTAAAAACAGTAGAGGTTGACCTGATAGGACGCATTGTTAGATTCCATTACTAATAATCCTTTTCTAGTTGTATTGTGTTATAACAGATTATAAATGATAACAGGGGCTGGTAGAGAATAGCAAATAACATCAGGTAACAACTCTTCATTTACTACGAAGAAAGTTGCAGACGCTGAATAATTTCTTAAATAATGAACATGGGTCTATTTTGTCTTTCAAAAATTCTCAATTCTTCAATTTCAGAATGCGAACAAGAAGGCCGTGTATATGGTAATGGTGAGAAGCTGGTGGACCCAGCGGACCCTTGCCGCGTTTGTTACTGCCAGGGAGGAGAGGTGGTTTGCCGGCGAATTGCTTGCTTCGTGAGAGATGACTGCCGGCCGCGCCTAGTCCCTGGCCGATGTTGCCCGGAATATGACAACTGTCCTCTCAGAGGTATTCAATATTTCACTAGCTTCAGTCTACGATTTGTATTGGATAAATCTTTGTACAAGATTCACATCGACATGTGTATCCATGCCTTTATTCAATACATGTTTCTGCTGTGGTGCAACAGCTGCAGGGCTGTGTTTTGGTGTGAAAGTGGAGAATAGGGGTAAAGTTATAGAGTATGAAGGCGTAAAACCTTCATAGCCATGAATGGAAACATATGTGCGTACTGGCGTCACCATTCAATCCTGTAATATCCATGGTACCGCTCTTATCCTTAGACGATGATAACCACCTTCTATGAAGTGGCCTGTAAGCTAAAATATCAAATGCTGTAAGAAAATTGCATAAAAACATCAATGATAAAATTGTAAATTAACTATATTTATTATTTTTATAAACAGTGCAATAAAATCTAAAATAAATACATACCTGTAAAGAAGAAGATATATTATAGGTAAGTTTTTTTTATACAACTTAGAATGGCAAATAAGCTGACGGTCCACCTGATGGAAACTGGTAACCTATAGACATAAGCAGTACCATGGACATAACAGAGTATACTGTTTCGCCCGTGATACCCCCCATGCGTTGCTATTTCTGAGGACTCAGATGTTATTCCTCTGTACCTTGTAAATTCACGCCATATCCCACCCGAAACACAGCGATGCAAACACAACTGCTTCACGGTAGAAATACGAATGGGACAAAGGTGTCCAAGCAATTGACTTTTGTACAAAGTCTTCCTCTGGTAAATGACAACATGATAATGATTTAATAACAGATGGACGACCATTTCAACTGTCTGTTACTGAAATTGAGATGTCTTGTACTATACTATAAAATTTGGAAACTATAATATCCAGCAGCCAATTTAGAAAAGTTTATATTTTGTTGGTTTCGCTAAAAATCAAATATGTGAGACTTATTGATGCTATATATATTTTTTAGAAAGTTACAGTTTCTTCTCATATTATTACAGGTGTGACATCTCTGCCCGGGATTTCACCATCGACGTTAAGTTTATCTACAGCTGGCGTATTGATATCCAGTGCAGTTCCCACTGTACCAAAGGAAAACATCAAACAGGAGATAACTATTAAGGAAATTACCCCCGTCTCTGAGATACCAATTATAACTGATGTAAAAATTAAAGAAATATTACCATCGCCCAGTAGCGAGGTCGGCGAATACTCGTCTTCAAAATCTCCTCTTATTCCCCGAGAAGCGACATCGGAGAAGAATATTGCGAATCAAGCTGAACTTACGGAACGACCGGTAGTAATTGAAATACATCCATCTTCTTCACCTGTAGTAATTTCATCATCTTTAACATCGGTGCCTACCACGACAAGCACAGATAATTTTTCAACTATTAATTTCACTAATGATGCAACACCTTCTAAAATTAGTTTTTCTACACAAGATTCTGTAAATAGTGAAATATATCCTTCAAATGTTCCTAGTGTAGCTACAGCAGGTTCGTCGTCAGTTAATTTTGGTGTGTCAACAACAACAACAACTACTACTAAAGCACCTGTTATAATAGAAGAAGAAGATACACCCTTTGATCATAATCCAGCTTTCCCGCCATTACCAGATGATTTGTCTGTACTAGGTAGTCATGATGATGAAATTATGCCCGAAACAAATGTTGATAATGAGCATATTCCCAGTAGTCATGAAATTTTAACCAGTACTACTACATCTACTGAAGCCTCTACTACAAAGAAAGTACAGGTAAAGGTATTTAAAGATATTCCCGAAGAACCATTGACAACAGAGAAAACGCCAGAAGTTTTTACTGTTTTTACGGAATCAAGTACAGTTCCTTTAGAGGTTATCACTAGTACTGAATTTTCGAGTACAAAAGAAAATTCAATGCTTAACCTTAGATCTGCTATTCCAACTGAAATACTAAATTTACCCTCATTGGTACCGGAAGATATAACTGGAGAGTTAGATGAAATAGAAACAACATTAACTACCCAATCTACACCAGTTAGTACGACTGCTAACACACCAAAATCTGAATCAAAAACAGAGAACCCGAAAAGTGAAATAGAACCAAGATCCAGCACGGAAAATGTATCAGGATTTGATGTCGTAACACCTAAAAGTGTTGAAACTACAGAATTCTCATTAAATACAAAAAATTCACAAGAACAAACCACGAGTTCAATAGCTAAATCCAATGAAGCAACTGAAGTTGCTTCACAAACGGAAATTAGTTCATTGCCTATCGAGACCAGTGACCAAAATCCACATGATGTGTCTGAGAGTATAACGAAAGAAAAAATTGCTGCTACTACAACGGTGTCTTCTTTAGTTGATACAGTTCCTACTAAAATTCTTGTCACAGATCCAGAGATAATAACCGTATCTAAATTAGCATCATTAAATACAGAAAGTCATTCAACAGAAAATATTGAAACTACAGAATTTGTATTAACTTCTTTTGGTTCATCTGAAAGCGCTACAGATGGAGTTGAGTTGATTAAAATCTCACCAGATTCCGATAAGAGTGCTGCCTTAATTGTAGCAGGGGAGAAACCGAAAAATAATGTTCTTACAGATTTTATTAATTTGGTAGGTGATGTTGCGTCTATCAGTGATCATACTGATGAACCCAGTGTAACACGTCATGTTACCGGTACCGCTAGCATTTCTGATTCAGAGGAATTAATACCCGTTAATGCCGGTTATAAAAGTAAAAATAATAACTGGAATGTGAACTCTATCACTGAAGTTCCGATCAAAACTAAGAATCAAGTGCAAGTAACGAAGCAAAAGATTATTGAAATTGAAGACGATGATTCTGAGGGTATCACAGATGCTCCTCCACCACATGATAAAGTTGAGCCTACAACCCGAAGACCTATTATAGATAACGTATCTGACGATATGGTAGCAAATAAAACAGATAAGAAAGATATAGAAATAATAACACAAACTTACGTGCCATCAGTTAACAGTCGACCTACTAAGATAATGAAGAAGAGTGAAAAAACAGTTTCCGAGGAGACATCTCCAGATAATAGTTCTGTTTCGTTATCCTCTGCGGAGACAGCAACAGAGAGCAAACTTGCTGCTTCAAGCGAGATCACAACGTCTTCAGGATTTGACACGTCTTCAGAAACTAGCCAGAGAATAGAGGCTCTACCATTGGATGCTTCTAGCACAACGCAGTGAAAGCCATGCCAGCGTACGTCGATGGAACCTCAGCTAATTAGCATTTCATAGTAAATAAGTTTCGTTCTTGAAACTATAAGTTAATGTAGAGACTATTAGATTTATGAGTTCTGATACAGTAACCCTGTTAAATGGTTAAGTGTATTCCTCGTCAATTTGTTTCCCAGACAAGCACAACTTCTTTGCCTGGGATAGATATATTTATAACGTAGACCAGTGTTGTCTGGTAACTAAATATGTGTATTAGTTGGACAAATTATTTATAAAGCAAATATAATGTTTAGGGGAGCGAGAAAGATATCAGGCGCGTCAAGCGCCTGCTTAAATGTGTCAAATTATGAAAGAGAAGTATTAGTCGATAGCTCTTCGTGTTAGGCGATAAGTTATTTATTTGTTTAGTGAGAGAATTGTGGGTAGAGTGATCGATATATAAGCAACTAAGCTAGTCAACTTGTGACACTGTAGGGGCGCGCCGGAGCCACGCGACCGTCCCAGCCACGTTGCCATTACTGCTAGCTATATTCAATCAGAACATGACAAAAGCAGACATTACCGTAAGCATGCCGTGTATAGTTTTAATTACTTACAATGTAAGAACAAACTTTAGATTTTTGTCGCCAATGTGAAGTTAAATTTATATACAAAATGTAACAAAATTTGGTACAAATCGAATTTGATATTAAAACAATTATCAACCTTATGAAGTATATATATATAGATATATTTAGATTTAGTGATTTAGAGTAATAATTGTGATCGCACATACCTTTATTTATTGCACATTAAGGTGGTGTATTTACATGAAACGTTGATTTGAATCAGTCGGAAGGCTCAAGTTTATTGTAAGGTTTATTTATTGAGGTTTATTTGTTTGTGCCGCTAGCAGCCGCTGGACATTGTCGTTCACCGATCTGGTCACCAGTCTAGCGCGACCGCTGGCAACTGATCAATTGGACGGCTGCTAAAGTGTTCAGTTTAGTTTGAACTGGTCTTTACTGCGGCTTCTTGCTCCGGAAGACTGTATCTTTTCCCGGGCAATAAGCGCATGTGCTCATTGTATTATTTAATTTTATTGTTTTTTTTTTTTTTTTACAAATAAAAAATTAGACTGAATTCTGTGAATTATTTATCACCTTGACACCCCTACAGTTTACTAACATATTTTATTCATTTATTCAACTCTTTCTTACTAGTATAATATATAATCTTTGACCTGATACATATAAATATACAATGACGATTAGGAAATTCAGTTAAAATACAGTATTGTAAAGAACAGATCAAATCTATACTTATAATAAATCTGTAGAGAGGTCAATTCTGTACATGATATATATTTCTAAAATAACTATCAGGGGGTGATTAGTGATCGATACTGATGCCAAAAATGCAATCAGTAAATTTTTTGTCTGTCTGTCTGTTTGTCTAATGTTCGTTATACAAACAAAAACTACTCGACGGATTTTAACGAAACTTGCTACAATTATTCTTCATACTCCTGGGCAGGTTATAGTATACTTTTCATCACGCTATGATCAATAGGAGCAGAGCAGTGAGGGAAATGTTAAAAATGTCCACTTGTGCGACGCCGGGACCGGCCACTAGTTATATATAAGAGAATACAAAAAGGGCTCTTATTTAAACAGTAATTACGGAGTTTCTTGTACTTTGTTCTCGATACATAATTATTCAAATGTGGTTCATAGTATATATCGTAGTAAAGAAATAACAGTATTTTTTAAAATATGATTTTTTTTAACATTTATTTTTAATACGCTACTACAGGGGGGTAAGGTATTGTTAGTGATGGAGACTGAGAATCCCATTGCTAGCAATATACCCAAACAGGTTGACCTCCTCGCGGTTCCCCCTGGAAACTATCATGGTTGGTTCCTGATGAATTCATCATGATGGGCTAACTGGCCTGTTTTCATTCTCATCTATCACCCTTCACTGGTGCTTCGCCAGCTTATCCCGTAAGCGCAGGCAGAGTTACCATTCCATTTTCACCCATAAAAAAAATACGCTACTACAACAGACTAGAACAAAATAAAATCATCGTTACAACCTACAGTAGGTTATATTGCATTGTAGATTATATTAGTAAATCTAAGATTCTTAATGATAAGTATTTATAGGACTCATTGTAGGCTCGTCTCTTCAGTTAAAAATATGAAACTGGACAACCTTAGTCATAAATAAATAGATAAATAAAATAAATAAATAAAGAGTCTACCAAGAGTCTGTGTGATAACAGTATTAAATACAACGTGCCATGACTCTTTATCGTCAGGGTGCTGTAAAAGGTGATTAGCAGAATACTTTTTTTTTGATGGGTGAAAATGGTATGGTAACCCCGCCTGCGCTAACGGTATACGCTGGTGGATCACCAGTGAAGGCTGATAGATGAGAACGAAAACAGACCAGTTAGCCCATCATGGTGAATTCATCAGGAATTAACCATGATAGTTTCCAGGGGGAACTGCGAGGAGGTCGACCTGGTTGGGTATATTGCTAGCAATGGGATTCTCAGTCTCCATTACTAACAATCCCTTTCCCCCTAGCAGAATACTTGTGCGACGGTAAATTTAAAATAAAATCCAATACTAAGTTATTTGGCCAGTAAGCCTTCCAGGATTGCCAGACATGAATTTAGATTTTTACTCTAACGTCAAATATTGTTTTCTTCATGTCGATATGATTTCTAAGACCATAGATCCTGTTACAAAATTGTATTTTACTATGCTTTACCATGTATTGCAAAACGAACGAAGAAAAAGGTCATACATACTTTTAGTTTCTCTTTCCCAAACATACTTTGCAGGTGCAAACTAGCAGATGGCCCACCTGATGGAAAGTGGTAACTGTTGCCTATAGACATGAGCAGTACCATGGATATAACAGAGTATACCGTTTTGCCCATGATACCCCCCATGCGTTGCCATTCCTGAGGACTCAGGTGTTATTCCTCTGTGCCCTGTAAATTCACTGCCATAACCCACCCGTCAAACCGAAACAAACACCAAAATTATCTAAAAATATTACCTAAATGTTTCCAAACCCATTTCAAACTGTGGAGCATCCTTATCTAGCAGATTTTTTTTGCGCCTGTTGAAAAAAAAGTTGCATATAAGTGCGCTCGAATTGTTCAATGCAATTCACGCTCAGTAGGCGCATTATAGGCGCTTTTTTATACCATTGAGGTGGCAAATAAGCATACGGCCCACCTGATGGTAAGCGGTTATCGTAGCCTATGAACGCCTGCAATACCAGAAGTATTAGGTACGCAAACGTTACCGATCCTAAAGAAACCTTTTTATTTCCTATTTAACTAACCTCATGCTATAGTCTCTCGGGAAAACCTCAGCAGGAAGTTCATTCTATAACCTGAGTGTTCGAGGGAGAAAATATCTCTGAAACCGCGTTGTACGCGACCATTTAGGTTATAGGGTATGAGGGTGAACTCCCTGTCGATGGCGATTGATCTCATTCGTGATTTTCGTTTTAATAGTATAAACTACTGAGAAATCAAAGAAGTGTCAGGAAGGATGGTAGCGGGAGCGACGGCTTCTAGAAATTCTCGTCGGTGTCAGGTATATACCTGAAATAAAAATATTTATTTATTAATATTTTCTTTTTAACAAAATTTACATTTTAGGAAAGGAGATGGCAAACTAACCCCCGACAGAAGCACAGTCGGCCGAAATGGCCGGAAACGGCCCGGCACGGAAGGCCCTAGGAAGAGAAACCGGGCACTATGCGGGCAGTATCTAAGAGCACCGCTTTCTGCATCTTTCCCGGGAGTGAGGCGCCTCGGAATCCCAACCGTCCGAGGTTGTTGAGGTTGAGGTTGTTCCAAATTGGATGGGATAAGATCATTAATCAGCAGAACAATTGCGATGAATTCGGTGGACGTAACCCCCCAAATTTTGGTCACATCGTGAGCCAAGTCAACATATTTCTTTTCGGATTCGACTTTTACGAAGTTATCATCATGCGGTGTGGTGACATCCATCAAAAACACCCTCGAGAGCGCCTAATTCAGCATCACGATATCACTATATTCGTAGGAACTGTCCTGTGATGATGGTTCGGTTCCAATAGAGCCTAACGCTGTCGCTTTCGAGGACCAGTTGAGGCTCGTACTTATAGAACGTTAACTGCGATAAATATAAAAATAGACATAAATAATATACCATGCGCATTTGAATCAAACAAAAAAGCAGTCGATAGTGAAATAGATATTCTATACTATCAAATGAATACTACAATATATGTATATTATTATATTATACAATTATATCATATTCAAATGTTGAACAAGGTCCTTCATAGTGAAAACTTGACAGTGTTTGAATTTTAATGCGACGTGCATATTGTGTAAGTACCCTACTCACAAGTGCGAGACATGCCTGGTAATTGTATATTAGTTAGACATTCTATAATTTATTAGAGGGAAATCGACGAAACTAGCAGACGTTTAGGAGATCAGGTATGAAATTGAAGCAAACATAGAGACACCCTGATACTCATTTCTCTCAATAGAAAACCAATTTAGGTATATTCTTAAAATATCAAGATAAGTTAAGAATATACTTAAAATTAAAAAGTTGATTATCTAAATGAAAAAAAAAGGTCGTTCATATATATATATATATATATATATATATATATATATATATATATATATATATATATATATATATATAGATGATAATGGTAGCCCCGCTTGCCCTAACGGTATACACTGGCGGGGCACCAGTGAGGTATGAAAGGTGAGGATGAAAGGGTAGGTCAGCTAGCCCATCGTGATGAATGCACCTGGAATTCAGCACGATAGTTTCCAGGTTATATTGCTAGCAATGGGATTGATACTCCGCATTACTAACAATCTCTTCCTCCCCTTCCTCCCCCCTAAAAGAATTCATATACATTATATTCGTTTGGAAGGAGGGGGGTGGGGAGGCTATTTTAACAGGTACAACTTAGATTACATATTT